CTGTCTAATTTCTTAATCTCTCCCTTCGATCCTAGCTACTTCCACCTGACTGTGAGAAACGTTCAGACGAGAAACATTCGCGAGCGAAAACTATCGTTTCGGATTTCTTACGAAAGGTCGATAATGATACGGGAAAAAGTTTAAAATTTTAAAGGAGACGAGAGAGAGAGAGAGAGAGAGAGAGAGAGAGAGAGAGAGAGAGAGAAAGAGAGCGTGAGAGAGGGAGAGAGGACAAGAACCGAACTGCGTAGTATACATATGGTGGTACACACCCAGAACTCCTCCCAGAACGACTAATTGCGTAAGCGCTGATACTCGATACTCGAATCGTATTACTGTTACTATTACTCATTATCATTATTATCGCCATTATCATTATTATTATTACTATTTGATGATAATTATTATTACGCATCAGCATCCATTATTATGCTTGTCATTACTTACCGTTATTATTATTATTAGCTTACATAAATGCAAACACACTCATATTACGTTACTGTGACACGCTTAACTATATGCGCGAGTGTGCGCATCGCGCGCGTGTGTGTATGTACGTTCGCGATTTCACAGTTTTCTCAAACGTCCCCCTCGTCCGGTAAAATCTTTCTTTTATTTTTCTTTTCCCCGTGTGTGTTTCCTTATTATTCGTTATGCTACATTCCTGCAGTGTGCCAGCCACGTACGTGCCATAAAGGGGATAATTTGATAGACCGAAGCCTATTAAAATATAGACGTGCCCGCGACGCGCGTAACCGATTTGATTACCGATTGCTTCCTTTTCAGGAGAAGAGGGGGAGGGGGGGGGGGAAAGAAGTAATAGTATCGCGGAAAATCCTAAGAGCACGCGAGAGGGTAATTCGCCATGTAAAGCCGCGAGGTGGGGAACGATCGATGGATGGAAATTCATACGCGACTCGCGCACCCTTTTCTTCTCTTTTCCTTTTATCCTGTCGCCGGGGTCGCGACTCGAAATTCGAGAAGACGTGCTTTCCCGACCGTCTCGTTTCTTCTTTTTTTTTTTCCTAGATCGGTTTACTAGATCCGTCGATGACGCATAAGAAGTCGATATAAATGCGACGTACGATCCTCCAACTTAATTCGCGTTTTTGGTTTTTTTGTTCTTGCCTTGATTTCTCTTTCCACTTTGGTTGATTCACTTGTTTCCGATACGTCTCGTTTCGAGGGAAAAAGGAAAACGCCGACCGAATCATCCAGCGACGATTTTCATATTTGCGTTAGAGCACGCGCGCGATGAACACGCATGTACCAACGAAAAATACACACGCATACAGACAGACACGGACATACATATACACGCATTATACACACGCGCGTAACATGCAAGGCAGGAAAATATACGATATTAACGCAAGAGTACGCTCGATGGCGCACGCCAAGAACAACACACACGAACGAAAACGTAACGTAAAAATAGTATAGGTTGATGCCTAGAAAAATTGCCAATAAAGTAGTCGTTTAAAACTTGTAGCTAACCTCTATTTGTGTATATCTTTCCTTTATGTATTTTCTCACTCAACTCCCACCCACCCACCCCTCCCTTGCCCTCTATATATAGATATATGTATATGTATATATATATATATAGTTCTTTCCAGGAACTCTCGGTCCACCATCTACGGTCCATTTCTCGTTTATTATTGACAAACCTCGTATGTCCTGTCTCTGTGAAGTTAGCACCTCAAAAAATCGGAAATTTTAATAACAGTACTGCTTGCACCCGCAATAGTTCTAGAGTTCCTGATAGGTTTCATCAATAGTACTGTTGATTTAGGCCAAAAATTTTTAAAAATAAAAATATGCGGTGCTAACTTCGCGTGGCACCGCAAAATTTGAAAAAGCCGATTTTTATGACGGAATCTCACAGTACTCGAAGAGTACTACAGTTCCTGATCGATTATAACAATAGTACCGGCCATTAAATATTTTTAAATAAATTTTTAAAGAAAGAGCTCGCACCTCAACTTTCAAAGAAATTATTTTTTTTTGCGCCATTTTGTAGTACTCGAAGAGTACTACAGTTCCTGATCGGTTTTAGTGACACTACCCACCTTTTTAATATGTTTAAACAATTTTTCGATCCGCGCGTTGGCACCACACATCAAGAAGAGTAAAGTGCCTCCAAACAGTCAGTACTTGCCGACTTTTCGTCTTTTTCCGACAGTACTACAATAGTTCCGAAGAAATATGCGGGTTTCGATTGAAGTATTCTCTGTTAAATATGTTTAATCCCTTCTTTGTTGGGTGAATATTTTGAATATAAAAAGTTATAATTTTTCAAGCAAAAATTTCGTTTCCTAAACACGTTTAATATTCTTTTTAAATGTTAAAATTAAATTTTCATTACAACGTCATTGTTCCTTCTTCTTGAGGGATAAAATTATATAGTATTATTTTTTAAGGCAGAGAGTTGAACTAATACATTGCATACATGGTTCGTGTATCATTTTAAATCAGAGTAATTATCGTATGTCTATTTTGAAACGTGACCATGAAGTGTTAAACAATTTTTCATTGAGTGTATGCTGTTATCTCATCACAAGGAAAAAGTAACTCACACATCAAGCTTTCACGAAAATTTCATTTGTGCCTGTGTGTGTGTGTGTTTTACACTTTTCCTATTTTATCACACACACATTTTCTTGATTTATAGTAATCTTATATGTAATATTACTTGAAGATACGTACAATAATTACAAATTTTATATACTTACCGTTTATATAGCCAGATGTACCATCATTAGATAAATAATGGTTACGAAAACGAAATCCACATTTTAATTTCACAGCGTCTCAAATTTTTTTAGTTATAAATTCTTCCCACAATCCAGGTCGAAGAGTTTTCCAAATTCTATGTCTTATTTTCTTTTTTTGTACACGTTTATAAGATTTGAAAACAATTAACTCATTAAATTCTATATTTGGCACCGTTATTATAAATTTTACAAGTTCTATATTTTGCTTATATCGTGATGCAGAACCGTCCAAAGACGTGTTACTCGTATTAACAGCGTTTGTACTTGCATCTTGTAAACGACCGTGAAGTTTATCACGTACACCGTGTACATTGTTACTCACCATTGCATAAATAGACGTGGGCTCTAATTTACCATCTAAAGAAATTGATATATCGCACCAAATCGAATTATTTTTTGAAACTATTTTGTCTGATAGCACTATACTATCTTTGAACGCCACAACATCTTTCACAAAATCTTCACTTTTAACTGTAGGTGGACGACCTTTAGTATGATACATCTTTCAGAGATTTAACCAACAACGTTTCGCAGTCGAATTGTTAAATCTTTCTTCAAAGTATTAATATATTATAGATATATAAGTCTTTCTTCAAAATCTCATGGATAAGTCTTTCAATTGGTAATTCGCTGAAATTGGGAAATATTAAAAAACATGTAAGAAAACATTTGAAACTTCATAAGAATTAAGAAGCTTTAGTTTCAGTAAATAAACATATGTATATATATAACAACAATAAGAATGAAATTTGGAATTGTTACTCATTTAAATATACAATAAAGTAAGACATGTCTACTGCATTAAAGGCACTTTAAGCTAAGTAATAATTTTGAAAGTCAGATGTCTCAGAAAGTTCTTTGGTTATGAGAATTTAAATATTTGACTATATGTGTAAACAAATAACTCAGTTTATGTACCCTATTCGTAAAAGAGTGTTGCAAGAGCTCTGTGTGGTCTCGAGCGTACGGTGCGAGATCAGTACGCTGGAGATTCCCTGTTCAAATCCTGTGGCTTTTTTTATCCTTTTTTGGTCATTTTTTCTGAAATAAGTAAAATTATTAATAATTTGATGGTTTTTTGGCAACTCTTGGTACATCTGTGAATAAATAAGTTGTTAAATGAGCAACACATTTGCCACTTCCTGAAGAAGTATATCTATATTTACATGACACGTTATTGTTTGTCGCGAATGCATATCACCGCAAGATCTAGTGGACGTACAACTTGGTTCATTTGTAAACAGATGTTCCGCTAGGTGGGCAGCGTTACAGTTAGCGTTCAATCTTTTAATACCACGCGTATAACTTTTAATGGTGTTAGAAAAAAGTGACAAATCTTTCAAGATTAAAGCTCGTGTGTTATAATGCGTTGAAAGTATTCTTCCATTTTCTAAAATAGATTGGGCCAGTTGAAAAATACCCTCAGATGTCTCAGTTTCATTTCGATATGCTGCATGCGCTGCAATTCCATTGGCGACGAGCTGCAGTAGCGAATCAAAAGCGCATGTTTCATGTACGGTCATTACTAACTGTCCTTGCTTGACCGGTTTGCATTTACTGCCATTTATTATAAGAGGCAAATTAAATGATTTTGTGTTTTTCAGATATTCCACTTTGATATGCTTTATATTTCTCTCTTGCAAAAATTTACTAAATTCGTTCGATGTTATAAAACACGTTCCTCGATCTGATACAATCGCTAATGGTCGACTATAACTCTGAAATATTGCTCCAAATTATTAATGGCTTCTTTGCTGGATGTTGTTTTAACTGCATATAATTTTACAAACTTCGTAAAAGCATCAACTACTACCAGAATATGTCGTTTAACAGATTTTTTTTCTATTGGGTCTACATGATCAACATGAACTGTAGCGAATGGAATCGTTCCTTGGGAATAGTATTTAAGAATTCCTCCATTTTCCCTGTTTTTGGCGTATAAGCAATGCATTTCAAACAATTTTTAATGTGAATCTCTACCTTTTCTCGAAGTTTTGGAAACCAATAACTTTGTAAAATGGCTTGACTAGTTTTTTCATTACCAAAATGTCTCATCTCGTCATGATATTTAAAAATAACATTTTTTTCCTATCTTCGGAACATAAAATAGTAATTTCCCTTCTTTTTCCTATACACAAGTTCATTACGTATAATTCAAAAAATTTATTTTCAGATTCTTCGAGTTGATTTTTAATTTCCGTAATTTTTGGGTCTTGTCCTTGACTAACTAAGTGTAAGATCCCATTCGAAAGGATTCTCTTCCACAATTTCCACCGTTCTGCTAAGCGCATCAACATGTTTCATTCGCGTCCCAGGTCTGTGTTCTACTTCATAATCATAATTTAATAATTCTAACGCCCATCTCGCAATTCTAGGATTAATTTCTTTCTTTTTCAAAGTCATAGTCAGAGAATTACAATCAGTCACAATTTTAAATTTCACATTTTGTAAATAAACTCTAAAGCGCTTATGTGTGCGTAAATTATTGCAAGAGTTTCCAATTCATAACTATGATATTTTGCTTTAGTTTCGGTAGCTCTCTTTGAAAAATAAAATACCGGGTGGAACTTTCGATCTGATTTTCTTTGCATCAGAATTACACCATACCCCACCGCGCTTGCATCACAGTGCAATTCAGTTTCGTCTTTTGGACTATATATTGATAGAATCGGTGCCTCACTAAGTTTGTTTTTTAACATTTCATAAGTCTTAATTTCCGCTTCTCCAAATTTAAAAGTAGCATTTTCTTTGACCAGGTCAGACAACGGCTTCGAAATTACAGTATAGTCTTGAATAAATTTTCTAAAATATAAACACAATCCAAGAAACCGTTGTACTTCACGCTTAGTTTTTGGAACTGGAAAAGTAGTGACTGCGTTAATCTCAGTAACTGTAGGTTTTATACCGTTTTCACTTATCAAATATCCAAGAAATTCAATTTCCGTATATAAAAATCTACATTTATCTAACCTTATTTCCAAGACGTTGTCGACCATCACTCGAAATAGACGCTCCAAAACTTGTAAATGATACTCTAATATGGTAGTCGCAACAAGTACATCATCCATATATACTACAATATCTCCCGCTCTAATAAAATCACACAATACTTGATTTATAAATCGTTGAACCGTAGATGATGCGGTTTTCAGTCCAAATGGCATCTTTCGCCACTCGAATTGACCTAACGGTGTAACAAACGATGTATATATTTAACAGAGTCTTCAGACACTTTAACATGGTGAAATCCGTCCTTTAAGTCTATTAAACTAAAATATTTCTTTCCATTCAAAACTTCTAATTGATCTTCAATTAATGGAATCGGATAATTGTCTCGCGCTAATGCTTTGTTTAAGATTCTGAAATCCACACACATCCGTATTTCCCCGTTTTTCTTTCTCGGTAAGACTATAGGTGATGCATATTCCGGCATACTCGGCCTAATATGTCCCTTCTCGAGTAAACGATCCAAAATTTCTCGCAATTTTTCTCTTTCGCTATATGATATTCTACGCGGTGTACAATGAAGGGATTAAACATATTTAACAGAGAATACTGCAGTCGAAACCCGCATATTTCTTCGAAACTATTGTAGTACTGTCGGAAAAAGACGAAAAGTCGGCAAGTACTGACTGTTTGGAGGCTTTACTCTTGATGTGTGGTGCCAGCGCGCGGATCGAAAAATTGTTTAAACATATTAAAAAGGTGGGTAGTGTCACTAAAACCGATCAGGAACTGTAGTACTCTTCGAGTACTACAAAATGGCGCAACAAAAAATAATTTCTTTGAAAGTTGAGGTGCGAGCTCTTTTTTTAAAAATTTATTTAAAAATATTTAATGGCCGGTACTATTGTTATAATCGATCAGGAACTGTAGTACTCTTTGAGTACTGTGAGATTCCGTCATAAAAATCGGCTTTTTCAAATCTTGCAGTGCCACGCGAAGTTAGCACCGCATATTTTTATTTTTTAAAATTTTTGGCCTAAATTAACAGTATTATTAATGAAACCTATCAGGAACTCTAGAACTATTGCGGGTGCAAGCAGTACTGTTATTAAAATTTCCGATTTTTAAAGTTGAGGTGCTAACTTCACAGAGACGTATGTCCTGCCTAACTTGTTGACAAAAAGTAATTACGTTGGTGCTGTATATACTTGATTATCCTATCTACTTATTGTGTACGTTTATTTGTTCCTCCCTACTATTTTCTTAGTTAATATATATGTATACATAGTTACGTCTTTTATATATTATATTATACACATGTATATTATGTATGCTATATTTACGCCATATACATAATATATTATAGATGTAATATATTAATACATATCCATATTGTAATATATTATAACGGAATATATATATAATTATATGGAAGACGTACATATGTAGCGTACTTATATACATCGTATAATCGGCCTTCTTTTTACTGCTCCTCTATAGTAATAATAATCATTGTTCTGACTTCTTATCACTAACGCTCGACCAAGCGTCTGTGTTTTGCGCCCCGGTAGAACACGCGGCTTCGCGCGCCCCGCGGAGGTGGCAACTCGCTAATTGGTAAATTAATATTAAATTGTAATTAGTCCCGTTAACCCCGCTGGGCGCTCGTTTCGAGCCGCTCTCTGGTTGGTCCAAACTCTCGTGGCTCATTCCGTTCTCATTGAAGGAGAAAGTAAAATAAACATACTAAAAATTTCCAAAATCGAAATCCCGCGATCTTGAGACTGTAAGATAGTAATCATAGTTTCATAAAAATGAAAACTTTTGCACGTCTAATGCTACAAAAGTTTTTAGAATTTTAGAGAAATTTGTAAAAATTTATGTAAAATATATGAACACTCTTATATTTGTAAGTTATTATTAATTATTATTATATTAATTATGCAGAACCTTTTATAACAAAAAATTTACATTATATCTTATAGTTTTTTTTATTTATGCAGTGATTGTACAACCAGTTTTTGTTACCAGAATAGCAACAACGAATTCGTTTACTCCCTAGTGACGATGTAAAATTCATTTAATCGTGCAGCTGAATTTATCACCTCGCAGCGTTTTATCTCTAAGGTATTGGACCACCGTCGAGAATATCCCGGATTTTTGATCGTGACGTGTCTTCTCGGAGTTTGTATTCCTCGAATATACGAGAAAAATCAAAAACTTGCGCGGATCTCGTAAAGAAAAATATTACATTTACTTCGGTAACGCCGGCCGACTTTCAACTTCGGTATCACTTGTTGCTCTATTTGCTACTCCTTGTGCAAAGAGGATTACTGACGTGCACGCTATACAGCATGTCCCAAAATTATTAGTTATCTCAAGATTTCTTTTTCCTTGGCGTCCGAAGTGTCCTTTGTCGTTACTACTTACCTTTTCAACGTTACATATCTTTGAATTGAATAAAGATTCTGTAGAACTTTACGAGAGATTAATTGAATTATATGATTTTGCATATTTCTCCTCCAATGAAGTTTAATTCATGAAAAGTCATTTACTTTTAATAACGGAATTATCTAGAAATTAGAAATATCGCATTTCTGCTTTTCGAATGTTAAATCGCGCTTAAAGGATTTTTAGAGCTCCTTCTACAATATTAACGCGAAAGACGTCCGGTAATTTTAGAACATTCTGCACAACTCGACGATAATGAAACCACTAGATTACGAGTGAGTCACAGAGCGATTAAAGATGTCGGGACACAGAAAAAGAGAATTCGAAATCATTTCCATGTCCGTTTCGGCCAACCAGAGAAAATAGCGCGCATTTTTTTCTCTAGATAGCCATCTTGATGATTATGTCTCCTGTTCCCTCTATCACCCCTGACGCTTCTTAAGTGGTTTAAAACAGTCGGCGAATTTGTTGTAGCGCATGCATTTTAGCTAGACCACCTCTGGCGCACTCTAACCGGCAAGTAAGAGTATATCTCGACGTATTTAATTGACACTCGCCCCTCCCTTACCTTTTCCTGCCGTTTATTTCCTGTTAATCCCCGCGTTAAAATGACGTAGTTAACTCCTGTTCATTTCAATCTTCTATAAAATCGATATCGATTAAATGAGGAAAAAACCCTTTTCTGACAAACGATATAGCTGCAAAAAAGCATTACCATTATTTATATTTATTAAAATCTTATAATAATATTGTTGATAGCAGAAAAAGGATTAACAGAAGTCACAGTGCATTAATATTTAAATTGATATACATACGATTGTTTCTATGATCGCAAAAATATAGATTAAATCATATAATCTCGTAATCGTCAAGAATAAAAAATCGCTAATAAAACTTTAGTGAGAAATAAATCAGGCAGTTAAATGAATGTATAATAAGCAACAGAGTTGAAATTAAAATAAAAAACTATTGAATGTTAATAAACCTACTTCCGTTATAAAAATAGCATAATACGATTACATAATACTATTGCTTTTAATTTTGCACATTTGATATCAGCACGTGGAAAAAATACAGCAATAATTCGTTTTTATGCCAGCAGCTATATGCGTGTCTCATATTGTTCTCTGTTCTAGTTTTCGTGCCTTTTGTCTCTTCCCTCGATTTTTCCCCCCTAAACGCGTATACAATTTCCTCCCTTAACGAATACAGATAATACATATCCATAGCCGGATAACATAGCGCGTACAATTTTGCTACTTTATATCGAAGTAGATATGTGTTCTACTAGCTTTTGGAGGCGCGTAGGTGTATTTTTTGTCGTGTGTAAAAACAAAACCACACCTTATCCTATCCCGGAGAAAAATCACTGATCCTACCTACGCTCGATCAGAAAAAAAAAAGCGTTTTTAACGATGAGCGCCTTTCTCTTCCTCGCAATATTTGACGAAGAATTTATGATTTATTTGGTCTCTCGATGTAAAGTCCTTGGTGAAAATTCGTTTACTTCTCGCACGCGATGCGCATTATTTTTTACGTCCGATACAGTAAAGTATTTATCGTATTTCTGAGAAGAATAAAGCCCGTGAGGCAAAAACTTTTTCTTTTTTTTTTTATGCGGCAAGAACGGCCGTTTACGCTGGAAATTACAATAGTCTGATCGTTATAACGGTGAGATCGAAAAGAACAGCGGATATATAAATGATTCATATCCGGACGCGAGAGGATGATGAATCCGCCCATCGGTAAAACGCGTTTCGCCGATACGAGTGTCGGCTCCACAGCACGGAGAAAGAACTTCCAAGTATCCTGAGTATCGTTTTATGGAACGCAGAGAGAACCCGAATCGTTTTCCGAAAATGCCAAAGGAAACCAATTTATACCGCGAAGTGGCTGCGTTTCCTTCCGCCTATCACCCTTCACGCGGGTACTCGGTGTCTTCCGGTGACCAATATCAGACACGATATATATCAGAGAACGTAACATATGTATTATATATATATTATATCTCGTCTTGCCTTTGAAAAAGAGTGATCTCACGCGTACATTGTGACGCGATCTCGTCAATCTTGTTAATCGTAAGTAGAGCAACTAGCGAAGAAAGAAAGAGAGGGAACGAGAGAGTAATTAGCCGAACCGGGGTACTCTAAATAGATCGTATAGCGAATTTTTTACACACCCGTGTCGATGACGCGATGATACGCGCCTACTCTTTGTCACTTTTTCCCCTCCCCGCGTACGAGGAGGGCAGGAAAGGTTTTACGGACACACGAGAGCTAAGAATATTCTCGCTAAATGTGATAGTAGAGTGAGAGAGTCTATCTTCCGGCAGACGTTGTAGAAGCAATAAAAAGCGAGCCGAAGGCAGCGAGCCGAGGATTAAAGCGTAACTAAAGCGACTGCTTTACCCGTACGCTCATCCCTCACACCAACCCCAGCCCGCTTCTTCATCTCCGAAGGAAACAAAGTAAAAAAAAAAAAGGATCCCTTATTCGCCGAAAAGGTACGTTCGAAGAATGGAGGAGGCGGCTAATACTCGGCTACCCACGATTACGAGATCCCCTCTACTTCCTCGTATGATTTTTCGGTGGTGTACCCGGAGAAATAAACGAAAATGTATATACACCACCCATTCCCACTTTTCCCCCCCCCCCCCGCGCCTTCCGAAACCCATTCCTAACGATTGTAACGATCGATTCGACATAACCCGAGTGCCTTAATCCGATCTCTATGCCCATCTTGTTCTCCACGTGTAACGAAAGAAAAG